TCAATAGGATTCAAATTGGTTGAGGGGAAAAAAAAAAAAAAAGGCAAAAGCAAAAGCCTCCACTAATTGTGAAAGTCCGCAAATATCACTGTTCATTTTTAATAAAATATGCCCCAGTTCAGTAGAGAAAATTAATTTAGATCGCATATTTCATGTGATTCACAACTTTTGAATCTTATATTTCATAAACATTTATCAAAATTTAATAAAAATTTGATTTTAATCCCACCAAACAGTGTCTATATTTTTTTGTCCACATTATCCTAGACATTAAAATTGATCCACTATTTCTACCTCTACAAATTTTGCTTCATATAAAAATCACTAAATCAGTTCAATCTAAATCAGTATATTCTACATATCTATAACTAATACCATAAAAATAAATAAATAAATGAATAAATAATCAATATGATGGTGGTGGAAGTTCACAAACAACATTACATGGAGTTCAAGTTTCACAGTAAAACCTAGTGTATTTGTTTTGTTTATGATGGTGTTGTGTACGTACAGAGGCGCGAGCCATGGAATTCGCAGTTGGGATGTAGAGGCAAGAGTTATGGAATTCTTTGCTGGGATTTCTACCAACTCAGGCACCCGCTTGTGTTGTATGCGATTCCAATGCAGTTTTGGAAGCATGAAAAGATGGGCAGCCATCCGCCTCGGTCTCAGTTTAGGATTTTAGAAGATAGTTGAGGATTGTGGTGTAAGGAAATTAAGCTCCTGTTTGATTTAGATTTAAAAAAAATATTTAGGAGGTTTTGATAAAAGTTGATGAAATATCTGGTTGAGAAATCATGAATTCTATGAAATATCTGGTTAAAATAAATTGTTGCTTTTGACCTTTTAGTTAAACCAAACATGGGCTAAATATTAAAGAGGAGTAATGGGAGATGTAGAGAGCAAATGGAGTGTAGGTTGGACAAGGCTTTTGCGTCTGATGCTTTTTAGAGTGCTGGAATACTATTTCTTGTTCTATTTTGCTTACAGTGGAGTGACTGGAGTGTAGCCCTAAATTATTTCACTTTCAATTTACTTGAGAAAAACAATTAGGAAGGCTTGTAAGAAAGTTGATTTGAAGAATAAGTAATAACCGAACATATAAGTAAATATCGCGAGTCTTATAGCCATTCAGAATTAAAGTCCATTATCTATCATCGAATTACAAGACGACATGTGTCCAAACTAGTAAAAAGACTGGAAGATCATGTGTCATTGAATTACAAGACGACGTTTGTCCAAAATAGTAAAAAAGACTAGAAGCCCTTAGGCATGAGAAATTTACAAATACCTGAAAAATCACCACGAAAATATGCGATATTAGAATGGCATGATAAGGTGTCAATGAATACAGTGACTTTAATTTTTGGATCAACACATTCTATTTATCCATTTCATGAATGGATTTTATGAAGATTTGGTGATTTTCTTAGTTTCCACTTTAATTTCTTTTGTTTTCCACGGTTCAAGATTTAGCCCCTGTTATTAAAATTCAAAGTTTAATCAAAGTCAAAATCAACAAATAATATCGGCCACACATTTTATGGGATCTACGACTTTTTAACCACATATTTTCATTAATTTTTATCAAAATCTAATAAAAACCTAATTCTAATCCCCACCAAACAAATGTCTAATTACGTTTTCTGAAGTCAAAGTAGATAACAAAATGTGTCCCTTTCCCTCTTCTGCCTCCCACTATCAAATGATATAAAACCCGTTAAAACGTCAAGTGGGACGGGCGAATTGTCAAATCGAGTCGAATCTCCTAGTCACATATTGGAACAATTTTCATTTCAATGTCGAAATTTATTTTATTGAAACAAAACAGAATGGAAACAGATACAAGAGGAACCAATAGAAAGAAACAAGAAGAAATTCAGAAA